TTACCTGTGTTTTGTTGACTTTGCAAAAGTATTTGACTGTGTGGATCATAACAAATTATGGATAACATTGCAAAGAATAGGAATTCCAAAACAGTTAACTGCGCTCATGAGAAGCCTGTACATAAGTCAAGAGCCTGTCATTCGAACAGAACAAGGGGATACTGCGTGGTTTAAAGTCAGGAAAGGTGTGCGTCAGGGTCGTATCCTTTCACTATACCTATTCAATCTGTACACTGAGCAAATAATTTGAGAAGCTGAATTATATGAAGAAGAATGCGGCATCAGGATTGGAGGAAGACTCATTAACAACCTGTGTTATGCACATAACACAGCCCTGCTTGCTGAAAGTGAAGAGGACTTGAAGCATTTACTGATGAAGAAGATCAAAGACCACAGCCTTCAGTATGGATTACACCTCAACATAAAACAAAAATCCTCACAACTGGAACGATAAGCAACATCACGATAAATGGAGAAAAGATTAAAGTTGTTAAGGATTTCATTTTACTTGGATCCACAATCAACACCCATGGAAGCAGCAGTCAAGAAATCAAAAGACACATAGCATTGGGCAAATCTGCAGCAAAAGACCTCTTTAAAGTGTTGAAAAGCAAAGATTTCACCTTGAAGACTAAGGTGGGCCTGCCCCAAGCCATGATGTTTTCGCTCACCTCATACGCACGTGAAAGCTGTATGATGAATAAGGAAGACTGAAGAAGAATTGCCACCTTTGAACTGTGATTTTCGCAAAGAAAATTGAATATACCATGGACTGCCAAAAAAATGAACAAATCTGTCTTGGAAGAAGTACAACCAGAATGCTCCTTAAAAGCAAGGATGGTGAAACTACATCTCACATACTTTGGACATGTCAGGAGGGATCAGTCTCTGGAGAAGGACATCATGCTTGGTAGAGCAGAGAGTCAGTGAAAAAGAGGAAGACCCGCAACAAGATGGATTGACACAATTACAGCAACAATGGACTCAAGCATAACAGTGATTGTGAGGATGGTGTGGACTGAGCAATGTTTCCTTCTGTTGTACACAGGGGCGCAATGAGTTGAAACCGCCTTGAAGGCACCTAGCAACAACAACTAGGTAGGTGGTCCTAGAGTTAGTATGGTGACTTAAGTGGTTCTGTTAAAGATCTAGAATTTCTCTATCTTGGGCATGATGACTTTCAAGTGTAGAATTTCAACTCATGGTGGCAAGACAGTTGCAAAATAGGTATCACCTCCTCAAAGAACACAATTTCAAAGTAGGAAGAGAATGAGGGCAACAGGACAGAAAGGCTTCCTACTGAAGACATTTTTTCTTAAAATGAGAAAAACTTTTCCCAAAGGCCTTACTAACCTGTTGGAAGATCAGTAGGCATCCCCTTACGTCTCATTGACTAGGTTGAGTTGCATGACTGTCTCAAGACTGGGGGAGTGGGGGTGGGGCATTGCTGTTGAGTTGATTCCAATTCATAGCCTGACCCTATAGGACAGAGTAGAATTGCTCCATAGGGTTTCCAAAGAGTGGCTGGTGGATTCGAACTGCTGACCATTTGGTGAGCAGCCAAGTTCTTAATTGTTGTACCACCAGGGTTCCATCTCAAGACCAAACCCAGGCAAAGAGAACATGGCTGCCATAGGTGCTGTAGAGCAAAGATGCCTGGCCATGCAGAAGGAGGGGATCACTATCAGGATAGATGGCAGTGTCTAGCATATCCTGAAGGGGGTGTGATTTAAGAGGCTTACAGACCATTGCACTAGAGGAGGTGTTGACCTTTTTCTGAAGAAGAAGCAAAAATTTAAATAAAGCAATTAACCATTTGGTATTTGGGATTGGTAAACTATGGGCCACAGGCCAAATCCCACCTGCTGCCTGGTTTTGAAAGTTCCATTGAAATACAGCCATTCAGATTTGTCAGGTGTCGCTTATGGCTGCTCTCACACTGCCACGGCAGAGTTGAGCAGTCATGTGGCTGCAGAGTCTAAAGTACTAACAATCTGGCCCTTTAAAAAGCATTTCCTGACCTCAAGGTTATCTGTACCAGCTGATGGGAGCTTTTGGTTTCTAGTGAATTATTATAGCTCCTGGTAGACACAGCGATGTGACCTGATGTAACAAGGAGAGACCCTCGCTTTAGGGAAACGAGACCTGTGTCTAAGTCCTCTTGTGCAGTCAGACTGTGTGTCCTGAAGAAAATTACTTAGTAATTAGTAATTAGTAATTTTAAATTTCAGTAATTCTGAACTACAGTTTCAAAAGGGGAAGCAGACCCTACTATATAGGGTTCATGTGAGGATCAAATTAGAAGGTAATTTATTAAATCTCCAAACTAAAAATCTGAAATAAAAAAGGTGAAAATAGCCAGAAGAAAAAGCAAAGGGATTTTATTTACCTTGGTCAATACCTCTGTGATTTTAGGTGAATGGTGCTATATGAATGCTTTTAGTGAAACATAATTTTAGGAAAATTCAAAGATTTCAAATTTATTAATAATTACAGTTTTCTAACCTGTTGGAAGATCAGGCCAAACGTTCTGTTATTATTTATCATTAAGTTATTTAAAACGATTTAATAATGATGCTTTCTTTAAATATAGTTAAGTTGTTGTGAGGGATAAGCATGGATATTTTAAAATAATTTTGGGATTCTATAAGCTAGGTAAATAGAAAACCAGAGTGCAGGCTGAGCCTGGCACTTGTGCACCCTCATACCTCCCATGTTTGCAGAGGCATTTGCTGGATCTCAGGTTCCTTGTGATGCACCAGGTGATGGAAATACAGGGGGAAAGCAGGTGGTGGAATGGAGTGGTAACCACTGGAGACAGCAGTTGTCAGATGGAAGCTAAATGATTGTAATTGCTCTGCCATTGTCTTGCTCTTGGAGTCTGTAGCTTGTTAAAGCCCCTTCTTATAAAGTAAGGATCTCACATTTTATGCTGTAGGTTATGTTAATGAAAAGCTGTTCTTGGAGGAATGATCAGTGAATATCAATACACGGATAATAAGAAATTAAACGAAAAGTTAACTAACTGATCACGAGTTAATGTACTTCAACAGTCAGCATAGCAGCCAACTGTGTGGTATTCCATATTGAATTTTCTGCTGTGTGCTCTTGAATTTTAAATATTTGGCATGAAAAGAGAGACTGATTCTGTGTGACTGTTTATAGCATCCTATCCTGAATAACAGATCTTCACTGTAGAGGAGGTCTCCTGGAAAACAGAAAACAGGTCTCTTTTGCAGACTCTTTATTTTATGCCACAGTATTAATAATTAATAAGGAGATATTTTGAAATGGAAAACAAAAATAGGTTTCCTTGTTCCACCAAGAAAGAGACTAGAAGTGGGTGTTGTTAATGGTCCCAGTATATAATTAGTATGAGTGAGGGTCTGTATGAGTCTTGAGGCAATGTGTTTTCACTGTGCATCAATATTAAAACAAGTGTATTAAAAAAGACAACACTGATGTGAAATTACATCAAACTTCTGCTGGAAGAGATGTATTACTTCATAAGATTGTATTGATTTCAATGATCATACCTTTTATCAATGCATTTAAACTGTTGGTGATGTCAGATTGATCAGATTTATTGAAGACATTTTTACTTGAGCATCTAATCTGATTAAACCTCAGCCCCTGCCCTCAAGGAACTCATGGACTAGAGGGATAAGTAAATCTGGGAACAAGCAGTTACTTGCGGTGCTGGGGGAGTACCAGGGGAAGATCATCTCAGCCCCGAAGGACTTCTGAGTGAAGTCCAGTAAATAAAAGGGCAGGGGAGATGGGTGGTCCAGGAAGAAGGAGCAGTGCGATGGTTCCTGGCATTTGGGCTAAATAGAATGATAGTTGGAAATTAAGTTGTGTGCTTTAGAGTGCAAGAAGATGAGACTAGACGGTCAGACAAAATTCCAGATGGCCAAAGTCCTTCTGTGCTCTAGTAAGGATTGTAGTTATCCCCCTTGGAGATAGATTTTAGACATAAAAGGGACGTGAGTAAATTTCCTTGTAGGAGGATGGCTCTTCCCTCAGCTTGGTTGATGAGTAGGAAGAGGCTCACTGTGACCTCCAGTTAGTAAGCTGGCGCATTTTGTACCGTTGAACATTATTATTAATCTAGATTTATGAAAAGGAAACTTAAAGAGCTTAAAGTGCCTAATAATTTATTCATCTTTGACTTTTTAAATATAATTTTTCCTGTATGTAGCAGTGGAATTGGTACTAATTCTTCAGTTGCTTAAAATTTAAACTAGAATAACATCTAAGTGTGTCGTTAATAGCCTGTCTCCTGTAGATAGCACATACTGATGGTTAATTTCATATTTGGGAAGTAGATATAGACATAGCTTAATAAAAAAGTAATTATGATCTTAAAAATGCATTTTTAAGATAATATTTAAAAAATGACAATAATTTGGTGCTGTTAAATATTTACTAGAAGCATTCTTCACATTTGAGAGTTTATTTCAGAGTTTGGAACGTTTGCATTTTAATTACATAATAAAAGGAGACAGTGGACGAGTATTTGGCTTAGCCATTGGCCAGTTATAGCAGTGACTGAAATAATCCCTGGACACTGACAGTGGTCTCCACAGAATAGTCACAAAATACATTGATCAGTAATGATATTTGGCAACAATGAAGGAAAAGCGGTGTTGTTTCAATCCTTCATACAAAATGTTTATCAAAACTGAAATTAATAAGAGAGAATTTGGGGTGTTTGATGGCAGGATCATTCAGCTTTTAGTGTTCATGTGTCCTAAGATGAGATGCCACATCTAGAGTGACTCCAGTTGTGTAACGCCAGTGGAGATACAAGACAATTGAAGGGGATGGTCAACCCAGCTGCACTTGTTCAGTACCATGTGGGGGTCATCACTGTCTGTCTAGAGTCCCCAAGGCCAGAGGCGGTGAAAAGGCCTCCATACACTGAGCCGGGCTGGGGACGGGTTGCTGGTGTCAGGATTCACTGCTCACAGCATTTTCCTCTGGGCTTTCCTTGACAGACACGACGACATATTCCACAGAGCACTCAGAGCACTTCAAGCCCTGCCGGGACAAGGACCTTGCCTACTGCCTCAATGATGGCGAGTGCTTTGTGATCGAGACCCTGACCGGATCCCACAAACACTGTCGGTAAGTCGCTGCAGCCACGCGCCTGGAGAGGGCAGGACCTCAACGTGGGCTGGAGGTGGAGGGCAGTGGTGAGCCTCTGAGATAGACAGTGTCCGGGATGCGTGTGCTCTGGCCAGGGGCAGAATGGACACTACAAGTATTGGAAGGACTTAAGACCAAAAGCAATGTGGACATGGTTTAAGTTTTACCTGACCAAGTAAGGAAAAGCTTACTTTTATATTTGCCTGTGTGTAATGGAAGCCTGGTGTGGGATCTAGGTACACATCCTGGAGCTCAGAAATAATCTTTGTTGCGAACCTGCAGTCTGAGGCAGGACAAAGCACACTGTTCATCTAAGATCTCACCTCCGTGTTTATTGTGAACCACACCCCAGAGAGTGTAACTGTGTCCAGAGAAGACTGCATCTTGTTTTGATTCTGGCCTGGCTTATTAATGTCAGTGCATTGTTTTAACACCTCAGGTGATGAAGCGCTCTCCAGCAAGCGCTGTAAATGAAATCACAGTCCTGCTATCGTCTCCGTAGTGAACTACTTAGGGGAACTCCTCTCTAAGGGCCAGGAAGGTGTTTAATTGGTTTTTAGAGACATAAGGTTATGTAACTGCTAAAAATAAAAACAAACTGAGATCAACAGCGCACTTGTACACACGGCAGCTTTAAGGCTCAATAGAAGAATCAAGTTAGCATCTGAAAAATACTCCCCACTGGGCTTTCATTTCCAGCGCTGCCCTGGGAATTTGTTTTCCTTGCAACTGTATATGCTTCAGTGATCATATATATCCACACCCCTTTCCTTCGCTTTATTTACTCCACTCATATGACACAAGTATTAAACTAATTATTCTGAATTGTGAAGCATGGAAAATTACAACTTTTTCCCCCTCTATTGCTATTATAAAACTTTATTTCTGTGTTATTTTATAAGATGGCATGAAGCAATGCATCTTACTGTTATAAACCTGGAATGTGCCCTGAAATCCCACCTGGCTCCAGGAGCCAACCTCAGTCTACCAGGAGGACTTGCTTCCACAGTGGGCAGCTGGCCTGGGTTTGGAAGAAATGATATATATAGTAGTAGATCTCTGTAAAGCTTACAGTACGTCCTGTGTCGGAACAAACAGACTGGTGGCCTTCCCTTCACCTAGGATATGGAGGCTTTCATGTGGTGTCTGGCAGTGCCATTATACTGACACCAGGTACAAACTTCACAGCCCATTCCTGTCCTTGGGAACCTGAGTTGGGAGAACAAAGAGAGTGGGGAGTGTTTCTCCCCTATTCCTCCTGTCTTGTTATATATAGTATTTCATCCTGGGCCCAAGTGATTTCTAGAAAAACCTCAGTGGAGAAGCATGAAGAGTGCCTGTGCTCTTATCGATACCCAACCAGAAATCAAAGTCATCTTTGTCATGCCAACAGAATCATCATGTGGGAGTGGGCATCACAATCCCATTAAGTTTGCATCCCTAATCAATTGATGAAGAGTTGAATCAGAAGAATCAGTAAAAGCAGCTGCTTGCTGTGATGGTGTCGGACCCCCGAGGAAGGATCAGAGCAGGCGCCACCCCGGTACAAAAGCTGATTTGATTCCTGCTTTCAAAGCCAGGAATGTCCAAAAGAGCAAAATAATTCTTATTCTTCTTTGACATACAATCTCACTGTATTCTCTATTAGTTCATGGGTCTCAGGTCTAAAAGAAAAAACACTTGCTTTTGTGGGCATGTGTATGTGTAATTATTTTAACATACACAAGCGGTGATAAAGCTATGTTTTAGCTGGAACCATGTACATGTGTAATAATTTTGTCCTTCTGTCTTCATACTTTTTGCGTATTTCAGCACAGACAACGTGTTATTTAATGTAGAGTCACAACATAGCTAATCATGACAAAAGACCAGCCTAAGCAGAATTGGAGCTTGAGTCGGTTAATAGATGCCTGGAAACCTCCTCCTACTGTGTATGAATAAATCACACATTGCTTGTGCCAGCTATTCATCTCCCAGGCTTTGCGATGAATAAAAGGCTGTTTGTTCCTGTACCGGCCACTTCTAAGAATTCCAGTGTAGTTATTAATAATGTGCCATTTTGTATAGTACTCTACTTAAGCAGTACGTTCCATTCATCCTCCTCCCATCCAACTAATGTTTATCGAGCACCTCCTATCACCAAGATGCTGTTGAATAAATAGCATACAGAAATGAACTCAGGAATTAAATGGCACTGCACTCTGTAATGTGCTTGAAGTAAGTGAAATACTTCATCGTCAGGAAATATTGAAAACAAGGGAAAGTGTGTTAGAGTGACTTGCCTGCTGCCAGGGATTTCTTTATGACACACTAGTAACCGGATTACGTCTCACATTAAGCAAGAGGTCATTTAGTAGATCAAAGCAGCAATAGAAGGGTTGTGCATGGATCTAGATCATTAAATCGTTTACTTTTGACATATCTCAAAGGATTAGACATCTAACTCTGAGAGAAATTGATTATATTTTCTAGCTTTTTAAAAAAATATATTGCAATCCTATGATAAACTATATCAAATTTTATTTTCTATGCTTTGAAAATATACCATGCTGTAACATTTTTCTGTTTCCTTGCCAAGGAAGAATAGTGGCAGAACTGCTAAGTGTGAATCGGAAAATCCGTGTAGGTATGCTGAAAATGCATGCTCCAAAAGAAGAACAGTGCTCAGATCTCACACAGGGGGCTTGATGTTCTTCCCTTTGTTATTGCTCTCATTGTGCTAGGTATTTCCAAGTCTTTCAAAAAACATTTATAGTATTAATAATTTGGAATTAGAGAAAATTAATGAAAATTTCAGAGGGACACCAAGGCCCTAAAAATAACTCGAGAATGGGATTTTAAAGAGCAATACGTAAACACATACATGCATGCACATACATGAATACACACCTGCACGCACGTGCACACATACATACCAACATACATAAACAGGCGAACTTGTTCTTTCTAAATTTAAAATATAAGTCTCAGATCCTCTGGAGACTGATCGGTGAAAACAGCCTCATAGATAGTGGAACTTATTATATACTAAAGGTGAATTCATAAATTAAAGGAAAAATGAGAAGATGATAGTTCAATAAATGGTGACTATGAAATAAAAAAATACCAACCTCGAATTCTTACCTCTTCTCTATACCAAAAGTTATTCTCAGTAAATTCAAGAGTTAATGTAATAAATAAAGAAATACGGCATACATAAAATAGTAAGTAAAATTATATATGTTTGCATCAGAAATTTAAAGCATCTTTTGAGCAAAAATGAAATGAAAGGTAACAACATGCCCTATTTATTTCATCTGAACATCAAAATTCAGAAACAAAATTAAAACACAAACCATGAGTGAACCCTTACAACAAATACCACAAAGAATTAATAACCTAGAGAAGGCACCTAGATCAATAAGGGCAAAAGGGAAGGGCATAATCTTTGCTTTAAAAAGAGTAAAAATAACATAAACATGAAAAATGCTCAGCTTCACGAAGAAATGTAAATTAGATGGGCTGATTCTTTGCCTATCAGATATTTAGTGATTTTTAAAAGTCAATATTCAGTTTGGTGAGATTTCAGTAACAACACATTCTCATAAACCACTTGAGGAATGTACTTTGTTAAATATTTTCTGTGGATAGAGTTTCAGTATGTTTCAAAACATTATATTGTTTCTAAGAATCTGGCCTACAGAAATGTATATGAAGGTTTATCTGCAAGAATTTCAACACAGGTTTATTTATAAATAACAAAAATAAGTAAATAAAAGTCTGAATTTAAATATCTGTATAAATTAGAGGAGCCTTGATGGTTAAGAGCCGGGCTACTAAGCAAAAGTGCAGCAGTTCGAATCTACTAGCCGCTCCTTGGAAACCCTATGGGGCAATTCTACTCTGTTCTATAGGGTCACTATGAGTCCAAATTGACCCGACAGAAATGAGTTTGGTCTTTTGGTTTGGTTATATAAATTAGAATCTGTCTATATGTTGGACAAAATCAATATAACTGGAATTTTCAAAACTTTTCACCAACATGAAAATGCTCATTATATCACATTTTATATGAAAACCAGGTTAGAAAATTGTAAAGCTGAACGTACAATAAGATTCTGATTCTGAAAAGAAACTAAATAAATATGTTAATAGAGTTTACAATTATTTTTTGAAACTTGTGATTTTTCTAAGATCTTTAGATTGCACGTGGATTTAATTTATAATTCAAAAAAGATTTTTGAAAAAAATATTTTAATGCAAAGAAAACAAGTTAACTACTCTTCGTCTTTTTCCTTTAGATTCGTTGTGATGAGTTTTTCCTTTGAATAATTGTCCAGTGTAGGAATGCCATACAGAGTCATACTTTCTTTCATGTGTATCACCTGCTTAAGGAAGACTGGACCCATGCTTTTAGTCTTTCTATAAAGAAAGTGTCCCTTTCTCTGTTAAATTGAAACCCGTTGTCATTGAGTCCATTCCAACTCATAGCAACCCTGTAGGACAGAATAGAACTGCCCCATAGGGCTTCCAAGACTGTAATCTTTATGGAAGCTGACTGCCACATCTTTTCCCACCGTGTCATTATAATCCATTAATGTTAAGCTGATTAGAGAGTTTTCAATTAAGTCATTCCAAATTAAGCACTGCTAAGTCTATTTAAATGTATCTGCTCCTTCTTTTATCAATAATTCATTTTTAGTCTTTAAAATAATTCTTTCCACACTCAATTCATGTGTTTTGAAAACATTACAAAAAATTGGATTTAGTACCTAATTAGATACATCCTGAATAAATAAATCTAGGTAGAGAAGAATAACATGTCATTAGAAACTCCTTGAATCAAAATATTCTGAATAAAAACAGGGTGTTTTCTGATCTATTTATTTTTATGTCATTTCTAGAACTCTTAAGAACTTGGAAAGTCATGTTATCTGTAATATATTTCACTGAAATGAAAGAGGTAGCCATTGTAACTGAAAAGATTGCTAGGCATTTGA